GGCCTCATCCCAGCTCTCTGACCTCCTTCGATCCTTGATTCAGCAGCCTGGTCGGAGACATGGTCGCTACCTAGCGCCTTAAAGCGGTCATGTTATCCGGGGGTTTGGATGGGGATCCTGTGGCATCAACGCGACTTCTATTGAACTTTGGATTCACATCGATAGGCTACGGTGAGAAAATTTTTTTTTTACCTCAGGTTGAACGAGTCTCACAATGATTATTAGGACTCAGGGATAGGGGAGAATTGAGCGCGATTCCATCACGACTTCTAACTCTAGGCACGCACATATAATCAAATGCCCAAAGTAAACGCATGATTCAACGCCTGCATCGGCGTCTCTCCCCTGTAACTTTCCCCCGCAGAAGTAAGCTCTCTATGCGCACAATATGGCGTCGGATCGGGTGACTCTAGAAATGATCTTGGTCCAAGCAAAAGTCCATTTCATTGGGATCCTTGAGCTAATGGATTAATTTTGGGATCTGGACCGAATTTCTCCTCAGTAAGTCGTACTGGCAACCGGTCAGAGTGTCGCTCGACGTTGTCTCGTTCTTCACCACATAAGGCGTAAGGGTCAAGACAAAAACCCTGTCGATACGGACGAAGTTATCTGGCGAGCCTATTGTTGGCACCAAACGAAGGAGGCTGGAAAGTTGGTGTTGTGACTTTTCATGTGCTGATTCCATCTTGCTTTCTACTAGTATATATATGTCCATAGTACACGATATCTCTTCACGCGGTACCTCTCAAACTTACAAGGAAACTCAGCTCAACGCGCATACGAGCTAACCCAACAGGAAGTCGTATCTACAAGCTCTACCACCAGTTCATTGATGGTCATAGCTTCAGGCGATTTCCATTATGTTGGGCCCTCACGCTGTGAAGGTAAATTAGGATTGAAACTGTGTCAAATACTGAGGCCGAATGTGTCATGAAGTGCTGAGCGTCTATCAGAGACAGCGAAGGCGGAGAGTGGTGGTAGCAAGTGAGGAGAAGAGCAGCAGGCTCGACTCAGGCAGAGATAAGACAGAAAACTGGTCCCAATGACAAGTTAGATCTATTGTAGAGAAGGAAAGAAAAGGAAACTGTACTACTCACCTGGTCCCAACGACAAGAGGTCAAGATGAAGGACCAGGTGAAGACTAGCTAGCTTATATACCTATCCTATGGTCAGAGCTGGAGTCGGAGTGGCTACCTATGAGTCATGTATGAGTAAGTATGAGTCAAGGATGAATAAGGAATGAGTCAATATGAGATAATGGGATGGCTGCGCAATGTGGGCTAAAAGCTGCGCGATGGTGGGTTAAGAAAGGGAATTGTGAGAAATAAGGATGTATAGTAAGTGAGTGTGAGAAAAGAACATGTGATAATCATGTGAGCAAATGGTGGAGGGAAAAGTGGCATCTTCATGACAGAATGGTAAAGACAGGTAAAATATGATGCCTCGGGGTATGCTTTTGCAGAGGTAGTGAAGGAAAGCAATGATCACCAGAAGCACAAAATTACCCCTGCTTCAGAGCCACTGTGATTTCCTCTCGTGTTCGATGGAACAGGTCCCTCGTTCAACCCCTTCCCAATCATCACCTGAGCTATACTCAGGAATTGAGGCTCACACCTACTTTTACTCCTGACTTTTAGATTTAAATGTATGTTGTCGTGCCAGATGTGACCACGTAGACCACGTGGAAAACAAGAGGATTAAAGCTGGTTTGTAGCTGATCTTATATAGTCGCGCCGTGGCGGATCTTCTTGGAGTCAGTTTCTATTTCGTCGTGCAGACCAACAGAAAACTATTTCCAACCTGCACCAATGGTTATTGCGGGATGATTTCAACTCGATTCGGAAAATCCGATCGTGGTTTGTTCACGACGGCAAGCAAGTATGGTAGCGGCGCGGAGACTGCGTCCAAAAATGATGGTATAGATGGTTCGAAACCTCAGTGTCACTTCAAGCCCTCAGAGAGACTCTTATCGATAAATCAAAACGTACGGTTGCCATTTTCACGGAAAACTTGCCTATGTCTCGAGCAATCGAGTCACAATACTGTGGAAAGTACCTCGATTCTGGCTAATATTGCTACGTTTGGCTTCACGTCCATGCTCACGCCAATAGAACTCATGGTGGTATATGGAGTTTCAGATAAAGCAGGGCTCATATGTTTATCACCCGTTGTTGTGTATTCAAAGGGATTATAATCTCAGTACCAGCAGAGGTACCAGGAGTAGGTTGAAGCAGAGATGCGCTTGCTCGAGATGTTGGTTTGGTGAATATTTGGTCAAGATAGATCGTGTCTAAATGGTTAAGTTTTCTGACCTCCGAGGTGGAAATGGGAACGGGAAAGGGAAACAAACGGGGTAGAAAACAAGAAGATATAATGCGAGGAGGGAACGTATGGACACCTTGAGGTATGGTTGGATGATAATAAGATCGAGCCAAAGGATACTTATAAATCCCATGCCCTCGGCCCTTACCCGTGTTCTCCTTGATCCCTGAGATCCCTGACGGAATAACTCACCTTTTGCCTTTCCCAGCTCTTACCGCCGTATTGCGTTGATCGAGGACGACCAACGCATGAGTTGCGAGTACTCATGATGACAAATGGTTTTCCATACTTTCTTTGCGGTTGAACGATCTCGAACCTTGACGGACCTACAAATCCCGTACCTATGACGTATTTCTGACTGCCGATGCCCGGGAGTTGCGGAAGTCCCCGGAAGTACGAGTCTGCTCGGCTGTTGACCAAAGTCCGAACAGCCGATCTGTTTCTTTGTAACACTCAACGATAGGAAGGATTCAAGCCACATAAATATCGTTGTTTGACCCAGCTCGTAGATAGAAAAAGTGTATAGTAAGATCACATATCGAGGAAGAGAACGAAAATAATGATACACGCATAGGGGGAGGATAACATCGAGGGCGGGATATACAATCATGATTTGGGAAATTGTACAGCTTGGAGTTTTGATCAGTCGCGGTTGAGAACTGAAAGTAAGGCGAAAAGATTGACTTACAGGAAAACTAAGTCGTTATCAGGTTGAAATCGCTCAATCATGGCGGAGAGCATCTTGACTTAAGGATTGGGCTTCAATGTCGTCGTCATCGAGCATTTCCAAGAGGGGCCTCGACCCAGCACGTTGATGGAGAGTGTTCTGTGATCGTGGTAGGATATGCACCCTCCGAGCTCCGAAGAAACCATCAAGAACAATTCGGAAAATTGAGGTGACGAAACCCCACACGCGTTGGTGAAGCTAAATTGATCGACATTGGAACGGGGTATACGGGCGTGATCAGAATCATGACGAGCTCTTAAAGAAATGAGCACTCACGACACTCACGCCCAGACCAAGGCTTTCGGAATCCGTGGCTTCCTCTCCCTCTCGAACCGTCGGTTCGCGAGTTCGATCGGTCTGGGTAGGAGTGAACTTGGCGGCAGCAGGATGCCCGGTAAAGTTGCAGCCATGATAGGTATTCCCGCGCACATGCTGACACTGATAGTTGTTAATGAAAGTTGCCGGAGAAAATGAATGCGGGTGTCCGTTGAGGTTATGGCTGAAAGGCATGTCGTTGAAGTTTGTCGCACCGCCACCGTTGGTAGATGGCCTGGGCCATGGCATCGGCATAGTAACCTGAGGAGGCCGCGAAATGAGCGCAATATCGTGTAGGGTCTGAGAAGTAGAGTGCGAAGCCGAATGATGATTGGGAGTTATATCGATCCCTTACAAGTTTCTGGAATAAGGCGGAGGGGTGGTTTGGCTTAGAAAATAGCGAGTCGCGCCGTGCGTTTTATATAGAAAGAGGAATTTATAAATCAACCACGACAAACCCAAAAGGAGAACCACGGAGACTATCAGCTATCGAAGAATCCCTAGAATATTTTCGCGTAACTCTAGGAACTTGATCTGTTGACATGCCAAAAAGTCTCACGTGCGCAATAATCCTAAATTGGAATTTTGTTCGAAATTGCGGAACACTTACGCCCACCTACAGCCTCCTGCAGCTATTTGGGAACAAGATTCGAGGTTTTAGATGAGTATAGTTGAGTATAGAAACGCAATGGGAGTCAGATAGAGGGGGTCCGTGTGGGTGCGAGCTAAAAAATTATCCCAAAACAATTCAGTCTACACGTGATGTTGTTTGGCATGTCAACAGATCAAGTTCCTAGAGTAACGCGAAAATATTCTAGAGATTCTTCGATAGCTGATATGTGTAGCGAACCCGCCCACGGCCAGTACATAGTGCAAACAGAAACAAACCCATGGGCTCTATCAGAAAGAGTGGAGCCTTGTGAGGCTTTATATTAAGTCTGTTTATCACAAGGCCGTAATTAATTTTTCCGACATTTGTCCCTTGCTTACTCTTCTTCGAAAAAAGTCTTGTCCACGGTAGTGCAGCACTGAGTACTCACTGTCATAGCTCGCCTCAGGCCTGACCGGAATACTGGTTGAAAGCACGACACCAAACAGTCGTTTGACATGAGTGAGGCCCCTTGCTTTCGGAGTTTCGGGTTGTCTTGTCATCATGCAGTAGCTGTGGGAGGGCTCCAACCCTTCCACACTTCGACGCGCTCAAGCAGGTTCAAGCTCAATCAAGCAGATTGCGGCGTGTGATGATAGTTACTAAGTTACCAAAGATGAGTACATGTACATCATGTTGCTGTGGCATCACCCGAGGAAAGGCGCTCAAGAGAGAAAAGAAGGGCATTCTGAAACTCTCCAGATAACTTTACAATTGGACCTTAAAGGGCAGTAGACCGGAAGGTGGGTCACCGGGTGGGGTCTATGACATAACTATCCTTCTGATAGTACTGAAACGAGACAATTTGAAACCTGGCGAACGGTGTTGCACAGAATGACCTGGCACCCCATAGCCGACACAAGTCGGCTTTTGTTGACAGTTCCGCCAAAGGTCGCCAGTGGTCGTAAATTCTCCAAGCATGGGCCAGTATAACCCATCCTCTGATTTCGTTACATGTTTGATGCTAATCACACGCACAGATACCACGGCGCTATAGCCAAGTGGTTACGGCGACAGATTAGAATGAGTTCCACATCCAACTTGATACGATCTGTTCCTCTTTGAGGGCGCAGGTTCGAATCCTGCTGGCGTCGATCAACAATAACCCAACCCACGTTTTTCCTCCCTTTTCCCCCCTTCCATCCTCCTAGATTATACAATTGAAATCCGATCTAGAATTTACGGGAGTAAGTAGTGATATTCCCCATTCCTTGGTACCCATTCGAATGCTAGGCTGCGACGACCCTTCGTATTTTCTCCACAATAGATCACGGTTCTACCTCTTAAATTCAGACCAACGTGTAAGCCTCAACCTCTGTGGACGGTACGTGAATACCTCATTATCACATACGTACCATAGATACATGGTCATCATTTGCTCGCTTACACGCTGGGAGTTGTCACCCAAAGCCTCGAGAATTTACCGACCCAACTCCCTTACTGTTATTTCACAGAAACATACTCAAAAATCCAAGGCGCTATAGCCAAGTGGTTACGGCGACAGATTCGAATGAGGTAATCCATTGCGTGCAATCTGTTCCTCTTTGAGGGCGCAGGCTCAAATCCTACTGGCGTCGACAACTGCCGTGCTCGTCCGGTAACTTTTAATTTTGTTGTAGTAGTGGGGAACGTTCAAGGATCGGAGCTCGAGAGTGTGGAGTTGTTGATTCATGTACAGAAACAACCCGAGCTTTGTTTGTTGACTGGTACTAAACAGACAAAAAAGTCTTTCTCGCTCATCTGAGTACCTGGGTAAACACTCAGTTTCCCAAAAATGAACGATCAAACATGAACTCTCTGAGTAAGCTCGAGAACACGCTATACCAAATTCCGATGTTTGTCATGTAACTCACAGTGTGCATCTCAGATTGAAGTTACCCAAGCCTCTGTTTCTATCGCACCCGTTACCTGTATGTACAGAATTTTGGATCCAAAGCTTTAGCTCAACTTCAGTAGATTGGACGTTTGAATCTTCCGACACGCTCAAGATTGGCGTAGGAGCTGTCCTTATTTATCAACACGGTCCCGATACGCGCGTTATATGCCGTGTCACCGTTTCATTGTCTTTCATAATGAGGAAGACATCTATATCTACATCTCCCTTACTGGCGCTACGGATATCTCTTTAGCGCTCTACCGAATCAACGATAGTAAAAACTCCAAGGGCTTAACCGGGTAAGCTCGGGACTCGGTCAACTCATCGTAGCGTATCGGGAAGGTGTCATTATTCGACTCAAAATAAAGCTCAGAGGTGCTTGGATTCCTCTGTGTCGATATGCATGTTCGTGGTGTGGATGAATTTACAGGTTACCAGCTGGCAGCCAACGCTACCACAAAATTCGGGATGGGAATGCGGGTTCAGGTAATGAAACACAATTTTTCCTGAGCGTCAGCGATAAGTGATCGGGAAGACCCGCGTTGGCTGAGTATTGAGTCCCGAGCCCGCCCGTTGAGTGCTCAGAGCTTGTCCACTCCATAGAACGCCCGGGGAGACGTAGACCATTTCTTAACTATGAGAATCGATTCACTGGGAAAAGGTTGCAGGCAAACAGGGTAGGTAGAATTGAGCCCAACGTCGTGATATTCCACATTCATCTCTTAACGCATACTTAGCCGGCTGCCGAAACAATACGGGTCCGAATCAACTTGAAATCTTGTTTTGTTCGTTTTTTCCAGCTTTCCCTTTCCCCCTCCTGAAATAACTCGAAAGTACAAGTCGTCACCTCGGTCGCGAAAGTGTAAATTCATTCAACCAGGCTAGAACCGTCGGGGATTCTGACCTTTCCTCTTTCTCCCATCACTGTCGCCTCCAAGATACCGTACTGCACTCACACGCCGAGTTTCACGACCAATTAACCCATCGCCAGCACTTGGAACGGATGCCCATCTGTCAAATTCAGGTATGATAGCCCCCAAAACCATTGAGAAGCACGGCGCTATAGCCAAGTGGTTACGGCGACAGATTCGAATCCACCACCAACCATATACAATTCGATATCTGTTCCTCTTTGAGGGCGCAGGTTCAAATCCTGCTGGCGTCGTTGTGATTGCGGGCAAGAATTTTTCTTGATTTTGGTTTTGGTACTTGCAAGGGAACAAAGGGAACATGGTGTAACATTTTTTACCCAGTAAAACTACGTCTATTGTCGAAGGCATGGCTCATGTTGTAGATCTAGATGTGAAATCTCACAACCGGTGTTTGGACCCATCAGAGGATTTGTAGAATGGCAGCTGGAATGACGAAGAACTATCAAAAGCATGCACGACCGCTAAAAAGGTACAGGCGGAGGATATCATGATCGATCTGAGGTCAAAAAAGGGTCCATAGGAGGACGAGGGTAAAATAGAAACAGCCATCGGATGTTTTCGGTTTACTGTATGACAACAGCCTTGGACAGTCGGCGCCAACGAACGAGCGGACAAGCGCGTTATACATCCATAAAAATTGCGTGCTTTCATTCCATCCGACATGCGTGCGAGACAATAGTACAAAAATAATTCAACGATTCACGATTCGCGCTTGTACACCCCAGCAACCCAGGAATGGAAACTCCCTTATGACGGCTTGTTCGCCTCCGTCTGTGCCTTGCCCTTCTCCTGCTGAACGTTACCTGTGCACGCCGGAACATATGAGTACCCAAGAAACGTGATCCCTTATCGATGGAAACTTACCCGAAGCCTGCTGACTCTTATCGCCAGTAACAGCACCGACAACAGAGTCCTTATAGCCCTCTACACGGTCAGCTGCACCTTCAGCGTAGCCTTTGGCTTGGGCGGCCTTGTACTCGGCTTCGCCTTGTGCGTGTTCTTCTTTGCCGGATGTTTGCCATGATTCGAGGCCAGTGGCGTTGCCGATCTGGATGTCGAGAGCGATAGGAACAACGGTGAAGGTTAATGATGATGGTTAATGATGATGGGCGATAAGAGACGATCGTAGAGGTCGGCAAGGAGTAGATGGGTGACGAGCGATAACGATGATGGGGGGAGACGTGAGAGGAGACCGTGAGCACCACGCCAACGGGGATGACGACGACGACGAAAAGACACGTACAGCTTCGACAATTGTTCCCTTGGTAGAGTGGAACTGACCGGTGGTCTTGCTGCAAAAACATAGATCCGTCAGCATCGCGTTCATCGATGGCGGCGACGACGACGAAGAATACTTACTTGGGCTCATTGGAAGACATGATGATGAGAAAAAGTGTGGTGGTGAAAGTAAGAGTGAAGTTCTCTGAGGACGTTGAGAGTACACGGTGGGTTTATATACCCTCAAAGGCTCTGTTTATAGCATGTTTGGGCGTTTGGAGGAAGGATCGACGTGACGTCAATAATGACGCTCTGAGAGAACCAGGGCGCAGGGGAAATCTGGGAAAGTCTCAGCGGGGAAAGATCTGAGTGAAAGATTCGGGCGAGATCTCGGTACAGATTGGATTTTAGGCGCTGAACGCCGGAACCGGGTTTGTAGCCGGAAAGAAAGCCGGTGCCGGGATGGACCTACGAGTTGGACCCACTTGGCCCTCTATGGATCCCCCGCTGCCGTATCCTTCTCCTCTCTCTCTCTTGCCTTCATCTCTCGGTACCGCTTTATCGCCTTCTCCCTCTCTTCCTCCATCATAACCTTCTGCGCCATCGATACTACTCCACGACTCTTCCCAACGCCAGTACCCGTCCGACCCAATACTTTCTCTGCCCCTCGTAACCTAGGCATTTCCGGCGGTGCTTGGACAATATCGTTCAGTCGTTTCGGTGCAGACGTGGAGAGCGCTTGAAACTCTTTCGCTTTTGATGCATGTTTGTCGGGTAGGGATGGGGATTCCGAATCGTCGGCATCTTCAGTCTTCTTCGCCGGTTTCCCTTTCCTCGTCGCCTTCTCGACCTCATTCTGCTTCTTAGCACTCCTAGCAACCGCCAACGACGTCTTCACCGCATCCCGTACGAGTGGCCGCATATTTTGCTCGACTCGTCTGTGATTCAAAAATATCAGTACCGGAAACCCAAGGCAAAAGGGACGATGACGCACTTGTTGTAATGTTCCAACGATTCTCCCGGTAATATCCCTCCCACAACGCCCTTCTCTCCCTCCGCATCTCCCGTACCCTTCGACTTCGTCTTTTTCCGCTTCTTCCCTTGCCTCCCATCGCCATTCCTACCAATATCCTCGTCACCGTCCCCACCCTCCCGCTTCCGCTTCCTATAATCTTCCCGAATCTTCAACGCATTCAAAACTCGAGCAGCTGACTTCGGTATCGCTTCTTCCTTGAGATGTGTCCCTGATAACTGTGATTTCGAAGGTGCGAGGTCGTGGCCTCTACGAAAAGATGGTAAAAAAAGTTAGCTGTCGGATCTATAGGGTGACGAGTAGGATAAAATGGAGCAAGATACCCAAATACATGGTAAGAGATCTCCAAGGAGAACAAAACCAGTCAATAAAAGACGAAAAACACACCTCTCAGCCCTCTCCTTCTCCCTAACCGACCTTTTCGCTCGTTTATGCGGCATCTCTTCTCCTCGTAGTGGTATGTGTTGCAAGGATATGGAAATGGTAGCCTCAGCTTAAGGTAAGGAAAGGAAAATAAAACCCCGTAGTCGTTGTGAGTGAGTCGTGGTCGTGGTTGCGACTCAACAACGTCGTCGCCTCATGCCCCCATCAACCCATCAACAAAAATTTTTTGTACCGTGGGACTTTCCTTCCGCACGTGGCAGCCGGCCCGTGCACCCGACGGATGAAATCAAGCTGAGGTTTCAGAGACGTATCTCCTATCAGAGCTTCAATCTGTGGCATGGCTCAAGAGCTTTTATTCAAAGTAACTACTTCAGAGTTCCTGAGGTTGCGGTTGGGCAAGCAGTAGTCAGCTGGGTGACCGAGAGCTCGGCTAGTATCTCTCCAACCGAAGGAGACACACGACTTTATACTGAAGATATCTTGTGTAAAAAGCGTATCTGAAGCAAGCTGAAAGTGCAAGAGAAATCAGGATGGAAGTCGGAATTCAGACCGTCCTCTCTCAGGTCTACATTCCACGATTCTACAAAATGGGGCGAGCAGAAAACAAAAATACCTTATGGATATCGAATGATCGATGCCGACAGGATTCGAACCTGCGCCCTCAAAGAGGAACAGATCAACAAGTTGGACTTGGAGGAATCTGGGATTGTAATCTGTTCAGTGTCACCTCACTTGGCTATAGCACCTACAAGCTGGCCAGAGGCCCGAGGGTATTCACTACATTGAGCCTATATGTCATGTCAAAGGATTGAAATAATTTTGAACATTCTAGTGGATGTGCAAGAAAGCAACTATTTTCATATCGTTTCTGATGTTTCAATACTTCAAGCCCATTCAGTGAGGTCCCTGGAAGAGTTGAAACTGGGGACCGAAAATCATGCTAGCTGGCAGTGATTCCCGCTACTGCTAAGTAGAGGGTTTTACCGGTCCATCAAAAACCGATTCTGCGCAACCCACTTTCAGTGAACGTGACTTTTTGCCCACGGGATCACGTTCACTCTCACACAGTCACGCGTTTCAGCGCGTTTCATCCTCGTTCTCCGATCAGCATGCGTGGCATCCTCGGCCTGCGATTCACCAAGCTCACCTTCCCAGGTATTGCTCGAACCTGGCCCAACAGTTCATTTTAGCATTGTGCCCTTTGTTTTCGTGAATAACCTTTCCAATCCTCAATCCAACTCAAAGCGACTCAGCTCAGTACGATTTCAGTCCGAAAACCAAGTTCATTGTCACTCGCGACTGATCCAAGGAGCGAATTGATCCAAGGTCTCTCCAGCTTAGAGTCTTTCCAGAGCATTCGACCACCAACTCAAAGTCAGGAGTCGCAGACTCATATAGTCAGGATTCAACTGCATACACGGCGAGGATCCCTGCAATTCGCGATTTTTGCGACCAGCTGTTATTGGTAATAATACCAACTTTGGGTCAGTGGGGTCCCCTGTGTCCGCCTCCGTGGGCCGAGACCTTTTCGGCGCGCTCGTATCTTCAAGCCACACTCAGTGTTGTTCAAAAGTTCAAGATATTTGTTAATATGTTACTCCTGAGTCCTCTGGCATTAGAGGGGGTGAGGGGGGCTCCCCCCCTACCACTGGGAGGAGCTGGCTGAAGGCCGAGCGACGGCCAATGGGGAGGCCCGTCTGACTATCACCACCGTTGTTTGTTGTTTGCTACTTGGGTAATCTATCTCTGCATTTGGATAACCCAGTAGTACACTCACTCTTTTTCTGCGGCTCCCTCCTGGTCTGAAGACATTCTTTCCTAGATGATCGGGGGAGGGGAAGACATTGAAATTCCTTTGTACAAATCATAATGTATGTAGTCTGCATGCATATGAATCATGGTGGGTCTGTTTCATTGGCGTGGCAGGCTGCGAGTACAATTCTGGGGCTGATATCTCAGCTCAGGTCAAAAGTAGATAAGAATTTGAGCTAACTCAACGAATAGTTGTTCGGTCACAAGTTGCATCTGACACTCTGGACTAGAGCGCTGAAGAAAGGCAGTAGCGGGCCCTGCCGCTTACCGGCCCTGCTTAAATGGAGGTCGGCAATGTGATGGAATGGCTTCTCCCAACCGAGTAAGGAAATTTCCCACGTTTCCTTCCCATCCATTTCCCACATTTCCCTTCCATCCACATTTCCTTACTCGGTTGGGAGAAGCCATTCCATTCACATTGCCGACCTCCATCACTGTCAGCTAGCATGATTTTCGGTCCCTAGTTTCGACTCTTCCAGGGACCCCAAATGCACAAGCGGATAAGAACCCACTTGGTATACATAGAGTGGTTTTTCAACATCCCATTCGTCTCTTCTTTCATCCCCCCAGAAACTACAAAGCCTCAATGTTTTCAAGCAGCCCCACTGCTCCGAAAGAGAATAATACCCACGGAATTCCTGGAGAGAGTAGCGATCATGTTCATGGTAGCGCATATACAAACAGGAACATCAATCCTCTCGCTAACACACTCAACGGCGACACAAGTTCCCTCGCGGCTTCTACCTATATCCAATACTACCAGTGTCAGAATCCCCAGAGTCACTACACCAACTGCAATTTCTATGCCGGAGACCACTCCCCCGCAGCCCAAAATGCGAGAGCTAGTGATCGTGTCTCTTCCAACATAGCTATGGGCACGGGCAGGGCACATCCCGCTCATGACATCGAGGTTGGTTTCACGTGATCTCTCATTGAATCACGATGCTAGATATTGTTTCTCCTAGCAAAACTCTCTCTTCGTACCATTTTACTGGCCATGGATGCTCTTCAACTCATTCATCCGAGTCGTTCTTCGTGCGGCAGCAATGTCCACAGGAGAGCGTACACCTCACGGAACTCTCCCTCGACATACCCAAGACCTCGAGGATTCGGATCGTTCGACTAGGAATGACGGGTTACCCTCATCTACCCCGAGTTTGATTCCTGCTGTTGAAACACAGGAAGACTAAGCCCGAGGTAACTACGCAGTGTGATGATAAAAGATTGCATAATACTGATCTCCTAGCCATCAGTACGCCCTTTGCTGGGGCGTCTCACTGTCTTGTACGTAGAACCCAGCTTTGTTAGAATTACCGTATAGAACGAACATGAAATGTGGACCCTACTCTGCTCTCACCAATTCTATCGTCTTTCCTCGTATACCGAAATCGAGGATGATTTGGAAGAGAGCGGGAAGCTCGGAGGGTGTTGAGGCGGGAGTTCAGAGCGGACTGGAATGATGTACAATGGTGACTCAGTCAAGGCGAACTACGAGAAAGAGAAAGTAGCGCCCGGATCGTGTAACGTGATTGATCTTCACGTCCGAACAGCGATTCTGATATGTCGCCGTAGCGACTTGGTCATTCTTTCTGATGCCTATAACGCCCATTCCAAAGAGCTTGAAGTCTGAGGGCCTATCTCACTGCAGTTGCCAACATTGCACGCCTTCGAGCACCTTGATTGTGGCTCAATTATCGGGCGTATTTCGACATTTCGACGATAGTATGAAAAGGGTCGAATCAAAGTACCTCTCAAAAGACGGGTTGCTCGACTGGACGGAGAGGTAGTGTCAATGTCTGTGCGAGAAACATGCGAGAGACGCTCATGTCGTTTTGGTAGCTGGACCCGATACGGTTTCAACCATCAAAACACGGCTCGGTGTGGTTCACATGAATGATGATGCCGAACCAGCTCAAACTGCTTAACTGATTGCCACGTGTATAGCACGAGTTTGCCCGCCGTTGAGATTTCTGTCGGGGCCTCATATGTACACGGTGCGCGATAAATGAGGTGACAGAGATGGGATCTCCACGAAAAGGTTTCCACCGGTGACTGACGGTGATGTTGCATACTTCTCGTGGAGCTGGGGTAACACGGAGAAAGAATTACCACCCTCGTGTACCAGGTCAACCAACGTTTTTTCGTAGTGCGATGCCGGAGATCAACTCGACAGACAGCCACCATTTGTGCCGTTGTGCCAACTGAATAAAGTTCCTCATGTCCCGGGCGCTTGGCCTCAATTGCAGATGACCTTGTTTCCATATAAGCTGCGTTACAATTACGAGGCTTTCTCTCTGTCTCGCCACTAGTAGGGAGGAAGCTCACACAAGATGAACCTCTTTAAACGGCCGGTTTGTGTCTTAGCAGAGAGCAACGGTCCAGGCCTCACAAATGTCAACGATCATCCCTTTGCCATCACCGTCATCACCCCAACATCCAACAGTGTAAACCAAATCAGTTCCAGAACCTACAGGGGAACAACTACTCGTTGTGTAATCTCTACAACACCATCCTTGCATTTACCTCCGCCAACGGTCACAGCAGGACCAGAGACGACACAGATGAACCCGGTTATCAGATGCAAACTATGAAGTGGAAACAGACACCTCTATTAGCCTTTGGATCGCCATGAGCGCAAGAGCACAACATCCGCTACGGGCCGAGTGCTTGGTCCTGAACCTCATGAATTCCTCCCCTACCTTGTCATTTGCGACCAAAGTCCACAATAAGCAATGTCGAAGTCCACACTGAAAGAAGCTCGTTGATACTTCGCTGTCAGGGCAATGTCAGGGTCACTCCCAACTAGCATTATCACGGTCAGGCCTCTCGCAAGGCCCACCGCCCACTGAACCCATGTTGGTTGATGAAGAAGACCGCACATACACACCCAGTAGAATGATTACCCCTCGATAACCCCCGCACGATCTTTTCGTCTATATCAAAGCTCAGGGTTGGAGACACGTCGAGCCGAGACCCAATAAGCATTGGAAACTGTGCGTCTGGGGACTCAAATTCCTCATTATCGCCTTTCAGATCACCATCTGGCACATGCGACGGAGGTTCGGGATGGGAAACCATAGGAATATCTGACCAAATGGAAGCAGAATAGTTCACAACAGCGAGGACGACCTGGTACCCCGCATCAAGAGCCATGTCGATTTTGACTCAGGCAGTGTTGCTTACGGGGACGATAGGGGATCTAGAAATACGTCGTGTTCTATCACCATTCGAGTGTTACGTGTGCTCTTCGGATGGGGAATCGGAAACCCGTGGAGTGGAGAACGACGAAATGGATGGGCCAGACGTGCCTTTAGAGACGGTATGGATCCGAATAAGGTAGCGGCCGGCAAACAGCAGCAAGTACCTGAAATATCACCTGTACGACCCAACACTTTCTCAGCTCCACATAACATCTCCGGCGGCGCTTGGATAGTATCGTTCGATTGTTTCGGTGCAGACGTGGAGTGTATCTGGAACTCTTTCGCTTTCGATGCGTGTTTGTCGAGTAAGGATGGAGGTTCCGAGTCGTCTGCGTCTTCAGTCTTCCTCGCCAATCTGCCTTTCTTCGTCGCCTTTTCCACCTCATCTTGCTTCTTTGTACTCCTAGCAACCGCCAACGACGTCTTTACCGCATCTCGAACGAGCGGGCGCATATTCTGCTCGACTCGTCTATAAATCATGATCATCAGTACCGCAGACCCGAAGAAAATACATCCTCGGACGCACTTTTTGTAATGTTGCAACGATTCTCCCGGTAATATCCCTCCCACAGCACCCTTCTCAACCTCTGCATCTCCCGTAGCCTTCGACTTCGACTTTGTCCGCTTCTTCCCTTGCCTCCCTTCACCATTACCACCAGTATCCTCGTCGCCGTCCCCACCCTCCGTTTCCGCTTCCTATAATCTTGCCGAGCCTTCAACGCATTCAATATTCG